ATTGGTTTCCCTTTTCTTTGTTGAAGAGGGTCTGTGCAATCCTTCTGCCTAGTCCGCCATCTTGCCCCGCCTCCCGCATAGGGTTTTCAAGGCTGTAGATCTTCATGGAAGTAGATAGCCTCATCATTAACTGGCAGAGTGACTGGTAGGTTCGAACCAGCAATCTTTTGGTTAGCAGCTGAATGCTTTAGCCACTGTAACACAAGAGCTCCTGTATTCAGGAGGGGTACACATAAAGTATTTATAGTAGGGGGTGTTACGGTTGTTTCAGTTATTTAATTTTTAGAAGTGTTAAAAACAAAATATACACAAAACAAAGCAGAATTATCTCTATTTGTTAGAGAGAATAAAAAACTCTAAAACCAAACTCTGCCATCAAGTTGATTCTGACTTATGCATAGTGACTCCCATTGGGTTTCTGAGGCTGTAAATCTTTATGGAAGTAGATCACCCCATCTTCCTTCCGTGGAGCAGCAGTTGGGTTTAAACTGCTGACCTTCTGGTTGGCAGACAAATGCTTTGCCCACTATGCCACCAGAGCTCCTTGTTAGATGGCATAGAGAACCAGTTATCTAGAAGGTTTTCTCTTATGTCACAAGCTTTTCTTTCCCCAGAGTATTCCAATGACTTGCATGCCTCAGTATCTGAAATCCAGACTCCTAAGCTTCCTCTGGTGGCATAGTGCCTAAGGCATTTGACTGCTAACCAGAAGGCTGGTGGTTCAAACCCACCAGCCACTCCTCAGAAGGAAGATTGGGCAGTCTATCTCCATAGTGATACCGCCTCAAAAACCCAAGGAGGGGTAGCTATGAGTCAGATCCAACTCAATGGCAGTGAGTTAGTTCGTTGGTTAAACTTTGCTTTGAGTTAAGTGTTTAAAGACTCCAGTTAAATGGAAAATTGTTTTCAGATCTGAGTAATATTAACCCACTGTCATTAATACCTATACTGAGTCTTACTAGCAATTAGCCAGTCAGTTATTTAGGCAGACCATGATGTAGCAAGACCATACAAGTACGTTTCAATGGTAAGGAGGATGTCAGGAAGTGTTCAGGGCCTGGAGTTGTTCCTTTAAAGAAACCTGGGTATAAAGGCAGCAGCGGGTATGATGAAAGAGAGGAAAGCGTGGCCACTAGGGAAGCAGTTTGAAATCACTGGGGCCTGGGAAGGGGAAGGGTCATTCAAGGGAAAGGAAGGCAGCCAACCAAAAGAAGACACAAGACCTAAAACTTTGCTTCCAGTCATTTTTCTACACTGACACCTATTTGAAATACTCTTGACTTTTAAGCACCAATTCATGTATATGTTGTACTCTGCTCAGTTTTTGATGTTTTCCTTAGATAATTTAGTAGATAAAAACTTAACGGGAATGATTTAAAATAAAGAAATTCTAAAGATTTAGGCTATACCTACAAAGTACACAGTAAAGTGAAAAATTTAATTATATATATACATATGTGGGAGCTCTGGTAGCATAGTGGCTGAAGGCACTTTACTGCTAACCAGAAGGCTGGTGGTTCAAACCCACCAGCCACTCCCTGGAAGGAAGATGGGGCAATCTACTTCCGTAGTGGTACTGCCTTGGAAACCCAAGGAGGGATCGCTATGAGTCGGGTCCGACTCGACGGCACGTAACAACAACAAACAACCTACCTGCATTAAAAAAAAAAAAAAAAAA